AGTTCTGTCTGACTTCGAAGCTGTATGACAAACATAAGCTCCGAAGCTATTAGACTTCGGTTATTAGACCTACATAACGGTTATGTAAGTGATTGAGGCGAAACTTAAACATGAAGTTTTGAATTAGAGAACTGAAATTTTTCAAAAAACATTAATTGTATCAAAAAACTTAGCTATTTTTTTTCGATTGGTTACATCATTTTCTAAAACTTGGTCATAAATAATTTTCATATCACGCATGTCGTTTTTATGGTAATACTCAATTTTATGCCATACCCTATGCATATGTAGTATGCATATGTATGCATATGTACTATGTATATGTAGTTATACATATATATGTATGATAAATTGAAAATTACCTATATACGACATCATACGATATAATGATTATTAGTAATTAATTAATATAATTATTATTATTTTGTGGTCTCTGCGGAAGCATTTAAAATTTTCATTAAATAATTAGCTGTAATCAATTTATATATATATATATATAGAAAATTTATGTATACCATTTGTGTATATATATATACATAAATAAACATTCGTAAGTGATTTACATACATACATAAATAATATTGTTTATTATTATGAATTAAATATAATGTTAATTATGTGGAGAAAATCACTATTTTTTCTTGTGATTATTAATTTTTTATTTGGCATATTTCCAGTGAAAAATAATTTTAGTTTGAATATGATTTTTTTAATAGAAGATGAAATTAATAGTTCATCAAATTGAACTATTAAGTTTTAATTTGCAATTTTTATCTGAATTGATTTAGCATTGAATTTTTTTTTTTTAGTATATTTTTATTTTTGAAATTAATCAAAAATATATATTAATCAATAATAAAATAAATTTAGTATATAATAAATTAAATCAAACCACATACAGTCGAATCATCATAAAACGAATGACCATTTTAGTTCGTGTTCGGGAAAACGGATTAAAACGAATAACAAAATTAGTTCGTGTTCGGGAGAATTCACGATAAGGGGTTTGAGAAATTCTATACGAATTTGTTATTATTAAAATTTGTTTGGTTTTAAGAAAATTCCGAAATTTCCGTTGTAGAGACAATATCTTGAAAATTATTATGAATTTCTGAAATGACACAAAACGGTCTGTGTTAGGTAGAATTTTGTCTTACGAGAATTTGTTTTACGGGGGCTTGGCTGTATTGTGTCCCCCCTCCCTCATTTCCGGTATATATATATGTTATACCTATATTGCCCAAAAGCAGTCATTTTGACTGCTAGTGAAATTTAAAAATAATTAAATGATTTATTTATGAACTGAGTAAATTTCCTGTATAACCATTTCGGCTCTGTATTGAAATAACATTCATTTCGATGACTGTTACATAATGGCATGCAAGTATATGATAAATTGTCGATTTGAAAGTGCTCTAACTAGACAAGTTGCAGTGGCTCAATAATTGTTTTTCGTATCTTTATGCAGTGATACTTGTCCTAACAAGTTGTTTATTTTATATCATTTGCTCTCTAAAAATTTACTAAGAAATTGTTATTTAACTGTAAATAATATGAAAAATATTAAAAATGAGTTTTGAACAAATTTTTTTATAAATTAGTTATTCTTACACAATGTCGTCATTTTGACTGCTTTTGGGCAACATAAGTATATATACAAAATTTCAGTCTTTCTAGTGTTAAAATTGATTTTGTATTGTTTAAGACTTTATTACATAATGTTACTGTTACAGCAAATCGAAATATTCAGCGGTTATAAATGTAATACCAGTCAGATAATGATTCCAACATTAGTTTAATTCGTCAGTAAATAGCACATTTTTCTGTATGTCAATGCAATTTCGAATAATTAATATTTGTTTTAATAAGCTCATAGCTCTATATTTACGCGAGTTCTTTACATGTGAGCTCGGCTGTATAACTTGAAATAATCAAAAGGAGGTGAAGGAGGTGTTGATTTTTACTTATACTTAGTGAATGTTAAATTATTCAACTTAAAAAAACTTTAGAAACAAAATTAACGCTTTAATTATCGTGAAATATTTTTAGAAAAAAAAAAATAAATTTCACACTTGCAAGCACCGAATAATTTTTTTGAAAAACTTTTATCATTTCATATACGTTTGAATAAATGTATGTAAATAACAATTTAAAAGTTTTATTGTGAAACTTTTCAAAACTTTTATACATATAAGAAATTTTTTTTTAATTATAATAAAATGACAAAAATCTTTTATTAATTAAAAACTTCACGTTTATTATTAATTAAGAAAAACACTGAAAGATAATTTTTTTTTTTTAAATACGAAAACCAAAAAGTAATTTGGAGGAAAAATAAAAGTTTGTAAAATGGCGAATTGTTACCGGAATATTAAAAATAAAAACAAAAAAAGTTTTATAATTATAAAAAACAAAAAATCATTTGAGCTATGGAAACACTTTGACATTGTACAGGAAAAAAAAAGCAGAGAGCAAAAATATTTTCAAATATAAGAGAACTTTGACATTTTATAGCCCATATATTCTGTTATATACCTGATAAGTAGCTTCGATGTCAAATAAACATACGGGCGCATAAGCAACTCACATACACTTACACATGTACGTATTATTCTTGAGAGTATTTTTTTTTAAAGAGTCAAAACTTGAAAAAATTTATTTTGTTTTCATACTCCAGCACATTTAAGCCTTCAATCTTCTTCAGTTGTTTCCCTTTAATTTTCTTATATAATAAAACTTTTTTTTTTTTTATTAAATCTACATATTCTTATATGGAGGTATTACAGACTTTTTACAGTATTTTTGCTTCCCCGAAAATGTGTTATTTTCAATCTTTAAATCAGTTAATTTTTGAGTGAAGGTGAAGGAAAGGTAAAGGTACGTTTTCGTTTATTTTGACATTGTTTTTTGTTTTTAATTTTAATTTTTGTTTTTTTTTTTTTTTTTTCTGAAAACCCAATTTTTTTTTCTTATAAAATTTTGGTGTATAACAGAGATGAAATATTTGACAGAAATATTGCTTCATTTAAGTCACTTTTATTAGAAGAAGAGACACAAAAAAATTTTCAGAAATTTTTCAATTTTTTTTTTAATTAAATTTTAAGATTTCCGCTTCAATGATATTTTTACATTTTCTACTTGAATTAAATTACATTTCTTTTCACTTTGCATACGGTAATTTCATTATGATTTCGAAACTATTTGAGAATACTAGTTAATTAAATTGAATGTCTTAAATTTTGTGATTTTGATAAGCTTATGGGAAATGTTAAAATTGAAAAATTTTGCATTGATTTTGTGATTGTTTAGTAATTGTGATGCATTTCCTGTACTTTAAACCATAAAGTTGCTTTAAAATTATTTTGAAACTGAACATATGACCAAAGGTTTGTGAATAGAACATTTTTTCAATTCAACATTCGCACAATTCAAATGTTAACTTATCGATTAATGTTCAATAAACATAAATTTTCAGGTTTAATCAGTGAGAGCGTCACTGATTTGTCACCATATGACAGAATTTAATATTTTTGCTTGTGCACCATTGTATTGATATTTCGATAAATATGAGTAGATATCTAGTTATATGTTGATGTGTGTTTGTGTATATTAATTTTAATACACAAGTGGAAAATTAGGTGAAAAATATTTACCTTTTCTTTTTTGTTGTTTTGTAACGCACGGATAAGGATTACATTCTTTGTGAATTTTATAAATAAAAACAAAAGAAGGCAACGATAAGGTTTTTTTTTCATTTTTAAGTGGAAAAAAAATTCATATGTTCTATACGTGTGTATAACAGTTTTATATTAAAGTTGTTATCTACAAATGCGTACATATGTGTAAAAGGTTGGATGTGTTTAGAAATATAGAGATTATGATTTTTGGCATACGCACAAATTTACATTTAAAGGTTATCTTAATATTTTTTTTATGTACATAATGTACATGCAATATATTTACTTTTTTTTTTCTTGTTTAGAATCTTGAGCTTCATATTCGAGCAGAAGATTTCGAAATATACTCACATGTTATATTTATGTGGATATACTTATTGTTTTATAGAGATATGGAATTTTAATAAAGGAAATATCAAGGGAATGTTTATTTGAATTAAATATTGTGTATATTGATATACATATACGTATGTATGTATGTAATGCACATAAAGTTATGTAATATATATAAATTTTTTTCTTGATACATTCAACATTGTAATTTAATAAAATGTATTATGCATATAACAAAAAATATTTCATTAAAAATCCTTCAATAAATATTTGAAAATAATTTTATATTAGCATTACATGAGTGTATAATTTCTATCTGTAGGCATATTTACATACAACCATCCATATATGAAGTACAGAGTATTTTGGCACGAAATTAATATTGAAGTCAAATTGTTTATTATTATTATTTTCATTTTGTGCAAATATGAGCACTTATCATAGAGGGTAGAGGGTAATTATTCTTTCCTCATTTGGTATTCTGTTTCTTTGTTTTTGACATAATGTACTTCACTTGTGATTTGTTACAAGAATATTATAAACGAATAATTTACTAAAATTTAAAAATTATGTAACTTTATTTAAAATATACTCCGCCGAAGCTAATATAGTTTTTCACTCCATTTGGTTCAATGAGCGATCAAAGTACACAGCTGATAAAACTATTAACCAATAATTGCAGAATACCTTCGATAAGCAAATATTTTCATCCTCTTTAACATTTTAAACCTCTTGATTGACGTAGAGGTAACGGATTTTGTTACCTTCAAGACAGAAGGTGTTTAAAAGACAGTATTCTACTCATAATTTATAATATTTTAGCCGAAATATACAAAAAGTTTACCAATAGAAATGAAAATAAATTTTATAAATGCCCGTATAAATGTTTGGTAACATTAACAAATAACCGAATAATGTTGTTGAACACAATCAACTTATCAGATATTTGATTTGAAACTATAATCAATTATATTAAGTATTAAAATTTACCTTGAAGCCTTTATACCATTCTTTTATTGTAGCTTCATCATATCTTGTGTGTGACTTTAAGAATTCCATGTCTTCTTTAGTAAGACGATCCTTACTCCCTAAACAACCCATTTTCTGAAATTAAAACAAAAACGAAAGCATAAATATTATGTTTTAATTAATCATTAGATTATTATGCATGTATAGTTTATTTAAAAAATAGAACAAAATACAAGTCTTTTAAAATGGATTTTAATTATTTTTCAAATTGAAGAGTATTTATTAGATATAAGGAATGTATTTTATTCGTTTATTTAATATAATACAATTTATATTAAAGATCAATAATTACAGTCTTTAATGTATCATCAATAATCCCAATTTCTACAGCTTATTTAGTATATTGTATATCTGACATACCATCAATTATTATTACAATATTTGTATATTCTATAGATTATTGTTCAATTATTATAAAAATAATTTTTCTATTACATTATAATTTATAAAATCTCTAAATAATTTCATCCGTTATTTTCATACCCTTGGCTATTATATTTCATAAAACATTTAACAAAGGAAATTTATTACTTATCTCGTTTTTCATTATAAATGAAATCGTAAAATTATGTAATCTATTTAGAAAATCGAAAACTATCAATCAGTTTTATAGCATAATATAATTATGGGATTTGAATAGATTATGCTATCTGTGTAATGTTGATATGAACAACATTGTTCATATCGTTAATTACAAGATAGGAAATTATAGGTTGCTGGGGTAAATGTGACAGTTATCGGAAATATTAATTTGTGTAAAGTTGTTTTAATATTTAGGAACACTGCCATGTAACGTTACAAAGCCAGAATTTATACAGCAAAATTAAGCATTTTAGTATGTAATTTCTGCAAAATATTTAAAACGTTCCGTGGGTACTCTAATCGGATATTAAAACATACGTGGGTACTTGAATTTATAAATACCTAAATATAAATTACCCAATTAAAAATGCATATCTCGTATTTTTGTAATAAAAGTCGAATTTGAAAGAAAATATCAAAAATTTTCATGTAAATTTGAAATCTAACCTTAGATTTTAAAAACTGTTATATAAAAAATTTTAAGCAAATAACAAAATTTCAAAAATGTTTATTAAAAATAGTTGAGATTTTTGTAAAATTTCATCTGTCAATTGAAAAGTATCTCTCAAAAACTTAAGGACATAGGTGATGCAAAAGTCGCAATAAACGAACGTGGCGTTAGTGTTACATGGATTTGAAACCACATTCCAAATTAAAATTGAATACGAAAATATTGTTCTCAGTTAACTATCTGTTGTATATATATCTTATACATATTGTTTATGAGAGCAGGAGGCCATGAAATATAAATTAGATTTTTATAGAAAATCATAATTACTTTGATTGACTTAATTCTAATTAATGAAAATAAATTGATGAGAAAAAAAGAAAAAAAATAAATTGATGAGATTTGAATTTGATATTGTTATTGTGCAGAAATAAAATGATCGCAATCGCATAATAATTAAATTGAATAAATTTTATAAACGTATAACAGAAAAACAAACATAAAATTTATGTGCAATTGAAGGATAAAAGAAGAAAGAAAAGGAACAAATTCTAGATGATTTATATGAGGCTAATAAAAAAATGGAAGGATTTTAAAAATACATAAACAGTTTTTTTTGTATTCTTGGACAGAATATTTTTGGAAAAAAACATAATTTATGGCTTCATTCTATTTGATTTTAAACCATTTTACAGATGTGTAACATGAAGTGGAATAGTAAAAATTTAATAAAAGAGAATTTCAAAATTTTAAATCTAAATATTTCATTGAAAATTTAACAATATAGAAGAAAATATTGCGTTTGTGCTTTAAAACTGATAGCAAAAAAGGGGGTTTCCGTTTATTCAGTTCTAGAATAGTTCTAGTTTGTAGCACGTTCGAAAATTACTCGCTGCAATAAAGTGCGTTCGAAAATTCAATCTGTAATAAAGAAATGTAGCGCAGACTTCTAGTTTAAATTTTGTCGCTGCCTCCTGAAACTTTCTTTTTCAAATTTAAAAATTTTAAATTTCAAAATTGCAGATTCAGATATTGAAGGATTATTAAAGTAAGTTTTCTTTAAGTCTTCAAATCTTATTAAAATTTCCATATTTTGCAGTGAATTGAAGGGCAAAAAGTATTGCGAAACTAATTCATAAACAATGTCATTTCTGTTATTTTCGAACGGACTGATTATTTAAAAGTTTCAGAATTTGTAGACTGCGTAAACTAAAAAAACTTAGCTGAAGTTTTCGCATACTGCGTAACGCTGCGGCTTAGAAATTTTAGTTCTAATATAGAACTTTCAGTGCAGCGTACATAAATGAAAACCCCCAAACTTTAATAATGTCTTTAAAATTTATTACAAAATATGCAGTCAGTTTTATATTTAAGCAATAAAGAATTCCCATTACAGAACATTCGAAATCTGGTGCAATGAATTGAGAATGTTAAGAAATATATCGAAATTTTAATTTAATGTGGGTATTTGCACAACAGTACTCTTATGCAATATTGCCAGTCATTCACATTGACACCCACGTTGATATTAGAATTGATTTGTTGATTAAACTATTCCGATTTTTTCATTTAGTAAAATTTATTATAGGAAATTCTATAAATATTTTATAAAGTACAAAATTTTCGGATAAAATTCGACAACTTTTTCAAATTATTTCATTCTATATAAAATTTTAATCATTTATTTTACTATATACGATCTTTCTGCCTTAAATAAAAGTATAATTTAAATATTTATTTACATACAATATGTTTATAATATGGTAAACCTACATACATGTACACATATTTATGTACAATATTATTGTTCATAAATTTATCAAATATTAAAATTTATTTAATCACAAAATTTCAACAATTCATAACAATAAAATTTCATAAATATATAATATTTATTTGAAATATAAGAAATTAACATATATTGTACATATGTACATATGTATATGTGACTTTACATAAGCTAGTCATTATGCATAATTTAAATTTTTCTCTAAGGCACTTTCATATTTTCTATAATATACATAAATAATTTATTCATATAAAAACTATATGTATACATTATGCATACGGTATACCATATGCTTTTTTATATATATGAAGTAAACTTACAGGAAACAAAATTGTGAGCATTGGAATTTTTTTATGATCCTTTTTAATACTGTACATGTAATAATAAAATACAAACACACAACGTATGTTTGCTTTATGACTAGTATAAGGGAAATATAAGCTAATTTGAATATCATTTATCAAATTGGCACCAAATATATTTCCCAGATATCTTTTTTCTGTAGCTCTATTTACAATAAGTTAGTAAGTGTTATATTGTACTTAAAATATGTGTAATACATGTATGCTTTTAAAAGTTGAATGTTATATAATAAATCAATACAATATTAAGTATGTATGTGGGAAAAATGAAAAAATATAATAAAAATGAATAAATAAAATATGGAATTTTATATGAAATTTATTTATGAGAGCTTCAGGAAGACTAGCTTTGTTTTTATGAATAATTTGAAAACAATATGAGGTTTTTCCGATTTCGATCAAGTTTGCAGAAATCATTATGTTAAAAATAGATGTTATTTTTTTTTTTTAAAGATTTTTTAAAGATTTTAAAGATTTTAAAAATAATAAGGAGCTTACATCCCAACTATAATGAAATTTTTTTCTAATAATTAAAATTTTATAACACATCCGAAAAAATTATTGTTTGTTTAAATTATTAAATTTCAATTTGAATTGAAATTGAAAATTCATGGAAATAAGTGTGTTTGAAAAATTTTGTAAATTAGTATTTGTAGAATGGATTAGTAGGTAGATACGATAACGTTTAGTTTAGGAACGGTATATGTATGACATAGCACTGAGTTATATAATTAAATTTGTGAACAATCGCGTGACCGATCGGATGGTTCTTTTGTATTCTTCCAAGTTCATCTTCCAAGTACATTAAAGTTCTTCCATTTTCATTCTTCGTGTTAGCAGTTGGCTATTTCATGTTTCCAGAGAGTCTATGGCTTCATATACATATTACAGAATACATAATTTAAAATAAATTCTTCTTTATACACCTCTTATCCTTCTAAGTGAGAGTAGGGATTTGTCAGTAGTACATTGATATATTTTAATCAAGGTGTATATAAGATAATTGGTATTTTTTACAATTTTATAGTATTTTACTTTAATTGTTTCGCATTCATTGTTTTTTTAGTTCAGGAGAGTTTGTAATTCCGGAATAGGGCAATTAGCATGAACACTGTTAATATCAAGATACCACATATTTTCCAAAAATTACCGAAAAATTTACTTAACAATTATTCAAAAATTATCACATAATTTTTGAACTACGTACGAGTATATATTAAATTTTGATGTGCTAAAATGCGATTTAAAACTCATAAAAATTTTAAAATGTCATCGGAAAAAATTGAAAATGTCATCAAAAACGTCGTCATTACTCGTCTTATAAATTAATTTTTAAGAATTACTCGAAAAATATAATATGAAAATTTCATTTATCTTTATCCCTGATTCATATATTTGTGTGTAGAAAGTAAGTACATATACATACACGTAAATATAAGACGGATCAATGTATATATATATAGTTTATTATTATATTTTTATGCAACTCAGATAATAAATCTTTTTCAATCTACCCATCATAAAAATAATGCTATAGTAAATATGTTTGTATCTATAATGAGAACATGTTTGTATTTATTTAATTTTGGAGGACTATCAGATGTTGTAGATAATATATAAAGGGAAAATATAATAGACAATAATGTCTACGATATATAAGGATAAAAATGATAATATGTACGTTATTGTTATTCACAGAAAATAATGCGTTATCTTACACATATAGGTTGTATGTATGTATATATGTTCATGTATTAAATGTCAGAAATGTTAAAGGATATTTGAAAGTGTCATATTGTATGAGTAACATTTTCATATTATATAAGAAACTTAAGCGTTATTATCATATATAATCCATTGAATAGGTTGAATAAAAGAGATAAGAAAAAAATAAAAAATCAAGAATAAATTTATTTAGTTGTGAAAATACATACACATATACTCATATTTCTATATATACAATATATATAATTAATATATAATATACATACATATTAATATTTATATTATGAACTTTAGTTTATCTCATCTTTATTACATAGAAAAGTAAAGAAAGAAGAGTAAGCTAAGGAAAGCATAAGTGAAAGCCTTTGTGACGTATACTTTTTCTCTTTTATTGCATATCCATAATAGACTCCTGCCAAATGTTAGACATTTCAAATAATAATCATGTCATTCATAAACGTTTTCCTTTTCTTCTCTATTTTTTTATAGACCACAGTGTGCATATAATATGAAAGGTGTTGTGATAGTTTCCAAATTTATATGTTGTGCTTTCAAATGAAAAGTAATTACTCTATGGTAAAAAGTTCTTAACTGATTTTTCCTTTCGTCTACATGTTATATTCGCATTTGTAAGGAAATATGCAGTTCAAAACTATAAAGTTGGCAATATTTCTTCTCTACCGACAATTTTTAAAATTGATATGCCATATATAATACATATTTGTTTCGATTCACGAGTTTGTTTTTAAAAAGTACGAATTCGTGTTTATGGACTTACGACAAAATTATATCACCTTACGACAAAGTATTAATTGCCATTGTTAAATCTGCGATAAATTTTCAATTAACTAATAAGGTTAGTTACTCCATAATAATAAAACTGGATAAAATCTAGAGCAATTGTGTCTCGTTAATTGACATACGACAATCACTAACAAACAAACATAAGCGCAATCTTCAATTGATATACGAATACGACAAAATATTGATTTAATTGAAAAAATTTAAATAAACTATGTCTACGTGTCTAGCCGCTTCTTAAAGACAGTTTAAATTTACTTGAAGTTACGTAGATCAGTTTTGTTTAGGGAGAGCACAAAAAAACACCGAACTAGATCATATTTTTTATGGACCTTTTAGGGAGCACGTATGAAGGTAAATTGTTGCAATTTTATAGTTATATGGAGTGTTACCCTCAAAATATTATTCAAAATACAATTTGGAAAAAGTATAATTCAGTCGGTTATGTACTGTTTAAGGAATATTCTGGTTTGTTATTCTGAATTTTTTGATTGATTTTGGATCCTGTTCTTCATTTAATTTTCTCATTTTTTTCAATACTCGATCACAACAACAAGTTTACATGGTTTTCGTGTTCAAAAAGCAAAATAAATAATGTATACAATGTGAATTTTGCTATTTTAATCCTTTCTTTCTTATAGATTTCAATCAGCATATGCCTATCGCAAATATTTATAAGATTTCAATGGTTATTATTATTTAACTGTTTGACTGACACATGTGCTATTTTTTTTTTGTTTCCTTTTAAGTGAGGACGTGTTAATAATCACTTTTTTTTTTGTTACTTTTGTTATTTGTAGTGCTCATGAAATAATTAAGATATTATGTTGAAAAAAAATTGTAGATCCAGATTAAAAGAATATTCACAGATAAGAGTGTATAGTGTGTGTTTTTTATTACACAAAACATTAAAATGTTATTTGAAAAATATCTGAAGGTTGTAGATTAATAATAGTATATTTGAAGGTCGTTAAGGCGGTTATATTTTTTTGATTTTTGCTTTTGATAAGATGAAAATTATGGGAATTTGTTTATTTTTCATGTAATTATATTTTCAAATAAAAGAAAGCATGTTGATAATAATTGAATTTATTGAAACGGATCTTGATTGAGGTTAAAGGAATGGATTTCCCTTTACAATTTAAGTTGCTACAATTTTTGAATTTATTTGAATTTTTCTCTTATTGCATAAAATTAAGAGGAACAAGACATTCAATAAGAAAATACAAGCAGGAGATGGAACCGAATTCAAAAGAAGCTAAGAACATTTGTTCTAGAGGGTAACTCCAAACTCCGTAACAAATGTAATAGAAAAAATTTGCTGAATAACACCATTTAAAATTAAACAAAATTTTTATTTTTCCTACCAAACAATAAAATTAAAATCAAAATTCTAATGGTATCACACTTTATTATCAGAATTTTTACTTAATTATATTAATTGTGTTTCTGTAAATAATATTCTACTAATCTTTTTCCTTCACGTAAACCACTTTTTGCAGCACCTTCTAATGTACCAAAACCATTTAAAACAGTTGCATCACCAGCAAACATTAATACCGGTATTATTTCATTATCTGGCATTCTCCAATAAATTGGTGAAGCTAAAGCATTAACATAACGTTTACTATTAGCATCCATTAAATATGGTATACCACCAAGAAATTTTGGATCAGTTGACCAATCAGATTTTAAAATTTCAATTAAATTTAATTGTAATGATTTTCTAGTGAAACATTTTAAAAATTTATCAAGATTATGTAATATGATTTCTTCATTCCGATGAAATTCATTGTCTTTACAATGTATTTGTAAAATATTTCGACTTTCTGGCAAACGATATATTGCTGTAATATTCTTATAAATATCATTAGAATATAAATTTTCATTTGAATTCCAAACTGGATAAATAATATGTTTATCTGGTAATAAATCATCTAAATTTCCATTATATTTAATGAAAACATTTTCAGGTGTACCAATACCCAATTTATTAATTGATTTCAATTTCATATCTGATAATTCTGGTTCAAATAGAAATGATTGATAGGCTTTCAAGTGTCCCAATGGTATTGTTGAAATAATATGATCGGCAATATATTTTGTACCATCAATACAATTTATTTCACCCGTATATGAATTAATTTTCACCACTGGTTTATTATAATGAATAATATCCTGAAGGTCTTTAATTAATGGTTGTAAAGTAGCTATCATTTCGTGACCTAATAAACTTGAATTTGTATATATGTTCAATAAATTTCTTAAATTTTCAATATGAACATAAGACATATCACATCCATAGAACGATTGTAAATCACTCATTAAAGCCTGATAAACTAAACTTGCAATTTGACTGTCATTGCCATAGAGAATTTTTGATTTTTCTTTAATTTTATTTTCTAAATATTGTTTTCCATTTTTAATTTTTTTACTATTTACTGAATTGAATTTCTCTTCAATTTCATTAAGAATGTAATTGAAGGTTTTGATCACATTTTGTTTCAAATCAAATGGAATAAATTCTCCATCACTTTTAATGAATATTGGTTCAATATCTAGTCTTTTAAGTGAATCAATATTTAAAATTTCGTCTAAGAACGAAAGTGTTTCACGGGTTATTGAAATTCTATTATTACCCAATTCAACTGATATTTCACCAAATTTTGTAGTTCTTATACGTCCACCATAACGATTAGATGCTTCTAAAATTCTTATATTTTTAAAATTATTCTTTCTTAAATATTTGGCTGCAGTTAAACCAGCTAAACCGGCTCCAATTATGAAAATATTTGCTTCATTGGAATTCGATCCCGGCAGTGATGTTCGATATGCTTTTGCTGTCCAATATGTAACTCTTAGGTTTGATGAGCTACACATAATCAAAAATTATATTTAAAATTACGTAATTACGAATTTTGTGAAAATTTCTTACCGTAAGTGCTTCATCAGGTGTGGAAAGTTGTAAAACATTTTTTGTTTTTTTCTTGTTATTTTTTATTTTTTACAAAAACATATTAAAAATTTTGAAAAATTAATGTAAATAATTTTGAAATATTTTTTAGAAATTTTTTGAATTTAAATAAACAATTAAAAGTATTTTAAATGAATAATTTCAATAATTTTGACAAATTTGCTGTCTCTGATAAAAAATCTAAAAATACAATGATCAAAAACGTGTGTCTGAATTTTTGAACAAAGAAAATTATTGGCAAATGTTCATTAAATGAACGAAACACTTTTCATGTTTTAGTTTAGTTATTTTTAGTTGTGATTTTTCATGAAGAAAGAATAAAACTATTTTGCATATATACATACATGTGCACATATGTATGATATGCAATGTTCTTTTGAACATGTGCACAAATTAATATTGAATAAGTTTGTAATTTTAACTGAAATATAAATTCGAATGAATAATTTCGAAAAAATCCTTTGCATAGACAATGTAATATTTAAGTGCCTATCTCTCGTTCATTCCCGTAGTGCTTCCTGTGTTTTGTAAGGCTGGCATTTATCGTTTACTTTTTAATTTTAGAAATTTAGCGAAGCTTGCAGTTTCGGCAATATAATGCACTGAAAATTCAAATATTACGAGTTTTGAAAGACGTTTATTTGGAAGCTGAAAGAAGTGAGGAAAAGAAGAAATAGGTAAGACTTTTCTTTAACATAAATCAATTTTAGTAAAAATCTATTTATTCGGTTTTCCATCTGAAAGGGTGTAATATTGATGAATGTAATGAAGCTATCGACCGACAATTTAATTTTTCACGTTAATCATTTATGAAACTTCTATCAAAAATCGTGTTTAATCATTGGTCAGGTATATATATATATAATTGTACCCGCAATCGTTAAAATAATTCCATTATTTTTTCTTGTTTTATTGAATAAAAGATAATTTAATAATAATTAAAGCGAAAACTCAATTAAAAATTTTTCACTTTTATAAATAAAATGCAAACTCAAAAGAGTATATATCAGTAAATATGAACTTTGTGTATATATATGTAAGAATATAATGCCATAACCGGATATCTATCGTTCTTTAGGAAGTTAAGTTCAATCAGGCATACTTAAGAATTAAACAATCTGATTTATTTTTGTTTTAAATTGCAAATACATTTAGTTTTCACTAATATGAACACAATTAGTTTTAAACTATTCATAATTAATTAGTTTTTAAAAATTTTGGTATTTTAGAATTAAATGTTATATTTTCTATACATGTCATAATACAAAAGAGAAATTCTACAGTATTTTAATTTATTGGCAATATTAAAGCTTGGCAACAAAAATCTACATTGAATGGTGGTGAATTTTTACTTCACTTCAGTTATTAAATAGCGAGACAATCTAAATTTTTTTTCATGACAATATTGAGTCTTCATTTTACTGAGCTTCTATGGTCTATCTCTGGAATTCAATGAGAAAAGTATTATCAAGATTTGCATGGCAAAATGGTTCGTTTTTCTCCTTAAATTATAAAATGAACAATTTTCAAGCAATTAACAATTAATTTTGTTAAAACCCCGACATGGAATTTTATAAAAATTTGTTTTACAAATTCCATAAAAATATTGTAATTTTAATTAACATACACAGGTGATAATTTGTAACTATAAGTACAAATTTTATTTATTTCCCAGAATAATGGTTTATAAAAACGTCAGCTGTTTTTCAGAGTGACTACTGTTATCAAAAATTACTAATAGTTGATTATTACAGCACTTAAAATCAATAAAAATAAAAAATAGCGAGCATTTTTTGAATTTTTACTTTATTTTTTATTAGGGTCCATAAAATCTTGACATAGAAATGGTTTTTATGCTACATCTCCTGGGCCGAAATTCTGTAACAAAAAATTTAAAGTTTCTGAAACTTTCATACAAAATTGTGGGGATGAAAAAAATGGAAAAAAATTGGTGTTTTTCCAAAGTTCAAATGCTTGGTATTCCGAAAGTATGTAAAATAAAAAATATGCTTTTTTCAAGCCCTTTAGTTGGTCTTTCAGAAACTGTTAACTTGAGGCTTCTTCCTCTTTCAGAAGGGAAATTATAAGCAAAAAAGCTTGGGCAAATAAAAATTTCGTGAAAATTTGTTAAAATCCCTGTATCTCGGAAACCGTTGATGTTTGACGACTAGTTCCACTTTTACCCATTTTTGATGCACTAAACAATTGTACATAATATTGTACTCTTTACTGAATCACCCTTTATATATATCAATGTCACATAAGTATCATTAAAATAGTGTCTGAATAAATTTCATAAAATTTTTAATCATATTAAATTTTATATTTTATTATTTTGAAGAAATTACAATTTTAATTTCCTGGAATTAATAAAATTAATTAAATCACATATACATAAGAACATTTACGTACATTACATATACATATGTATGTATGAAACAATATAATTAGTGTAAAAAGTATGAACAATTAAAATTTTATTTAATAAATTTTGGAATTTATCAGAAATGATTGAAGAGATTATTGTAATTAATATGCAATTATAAATATTTATGAAATCTACAAGTGTTTGTTGTTTTATTTTGTGTTATTACGCGCCTGATTGATTATTGCATTTGCCATCAACTTCAAATTGATTTCATTTCATTTGTCCGAGAAATTGTGGTGAAAATGACAAGTGACGAACAACTTTTTAAGAATTTTTATTATTTAAAAATTATTAATTAAGAACGTATGCAGGAATGAATTTCATATATTGGACCATGGAATAATCCGTCGAGATTTTGCCATTTTAAACTTTCAGATTACTTGCTTTTTGTTCTTTTATAAAATTTCTCGTTTATTATCTATTATCTAGATGGCAGTTTTGAAAAAAAGAAAATGGTAAACGTGTAGTAGCAACATATGATAATGCAATCGATGGGCTGTCTAAAACTTTATCGTAGTTAATAATTATAAACCTGTAATATATATTTAAAAAGTAAAATGGTAGAGCGATTGATTTATCGATCCAATTTACAATTAAATTTCTTATTTTTCCACCGGCTTTTCTTTCGATTTTATAAAACAAACATTTTTGAAACCTATTCTACTATAAATGTAATTACGTTTGTTGGAAGATAATTTGGAGGAATATCGATACTACACAAAATTAACGAAATATTTTTGGTTATGCTGATTAAATATACACACACCACACATAAATTGTATTTATGGAGAATCAAATTAATATAGAAACATTTTTATGGATAAAACTAAAATTTGCGTTTCCGTTTCTTTTGTTTTTCCAAATGATTTTATTAATATTATTTCTATAAATAAAATTTTCAACTAAATTTTATTTTAAGATTTTTTAATTATCTTAAATGTAATAAAAAAATTGATTAGTAAAAGTTTACTGTGTGTAAATTTTAGCACGAAAATTCGAAAATAATAAAAATTTTTTGAAAATTTATTAATTTCTTTCACTCCAAATTAACATATATATATATTTTTTTTGTATCATTTTTAATAGCTAATAAAATATTAAATAATTACTCTAAAAAAAAATATAAATTTCTTAAACAAATAAATATGAAAAAATTTCAAGTTTTAAGGGTAAATAAAGAATTTATTTCCAAATTTTGTAAAAATTTCATTTATGATTAATGAAAATGTAGTTAAAAGCTAGTGTATACTAAAATAGTTATAAAGATATTAGTCTCATAACACAGACCACTCGTAAATTTAACGATCAAAAAACTCAATGTGTTTAACTCAATTCATTCATAAAACCAAAAAATATCGTTGGGTAATATTTTAAAAATAGAACAAATCAAACATAAATTTTTCTTTTATTTTTACATTTAATATTTAGACATATTGTGTATAGTCATCACGGATAATGTCAATAAAAGAATAAAATCTTTTAATAGCACAACTTTTATTAAAAATTTACGTTTTGGAGGAAAAACACACAGTAATTTATTTATTTGTTTTACGGATGAGCTTCATGCCCCGATGAATTCTTATTTATACTTAAGAATATAACAATAGAAAAATAGTTAAAAAGACTTGAGCTAAAAATAGCCAGTTTAATGAAATTCTTATTCTTGTTCATGTCCTTTGAAAATTTTTTGAAATTATTCGAATATTTTCGAACTTAAGTACAACTGCCTCAATATGATTACATTTTTCATCATAACCCAAATTTTATTTCAATTAAAATGAAAATTTTTTAAATTTGGTTGACTTTTGATATCAAGCCTATAGCTTTATTTTTAATTCATCCCTATAAGTATGCAAAATTTGTGTGATATGTGGAAGACTCTTTAAATATTATGAAAATTAATTAATAAATTAATTACAACAATTTCTTTAAAATTTAATAATTTAATAATAAAAAATAAAACATTTCTAAAATTAATTTTCATTTTTTCCCTGCTTTGCTTATTATTTTTACATTGTATATAAGGTAAATCTACATAATGTAATAAAAATACCAAAACAAAGAAAACAAAAACATAAAAAGGAAATTAATTAATTTTGCTACATATACCAAAAGAATTGCGGGATTTCACTGTCATCATATTATGTCATAATTTCAATTCTCATTTTTAACAGTTCTGTCATTTGAACCCTCACTCACAACTTTGTATACATGTATTTATGTATATGAATTTATAGAAATGAAAATGTATGTAAACAAAAATGTCGAAGTTAAATAACTTTTTAATTAAAAATAAAGAAAAAAAACGAAACTTTTTAATGAATATTAAAATATTTAAAAAAAAATTTTCAAATATGCAGAAGAGAAATTGTGAATAAAAATTAAGTGTTTTTATTTCAGCCATTTTAAAAATTAATTTTATTCTTTAATTCTTTAAAAAAAATATTAAATATTTTGTGCAATTGAATTTGTCATTCAATTTTAATCAGAGTAAAAAAAAAATCATAATTAATTTTTTAATTCAATTTTTGAATTTTTATTTGACATTTTCAGTTTTTATTCGTTTTTGATTGAAATAAGATGAAAATTTGGTATGTAGGTATGTGCTAAACCGTATATTTTGACTG